CCACTAGCTGCTCCTTGGAAACCCTATGCAGCAGTTCTACTCTGTCCTATAGTGTTGCTATGACTCGGAATCGACTCGATGGCAATGGGTTTTTTTTTTTTAAATGTGATGAAGTAGTTAAACCCATTGCTGTTGAGTCAATTCCAACTCATAGTGACCTGATAGGACAAAGCAGAATAGCCCCACTGGGTTTCCAAGGTTGTAATTTTTCTCCCAAGGAGCGGCTGGTGGGTTTGAACTGCTCACTTTTCAGTGCTTAACCACTGTGCCACCAGCGCTCCTTTTATGAAGTAGATATGTGTGATTAAATCAGTTGGCTTAAGTAAAGCAGATTACCTTCCATAATATAGTCTAATGTAATGTAATCAATCAATCAGGTGAAGGAATTAAGAGCAAAAACAGAGTTTCGCTAGAGGGTATTCTGCCTCCAGACTGTAAATATATATTTTGGTAGAACTCATACTTCACTTTTCCCATTGTCTGATTTTGGATTTGCCAGCTCCCAGGACTAGATTACCCAATAAGCAAGGTATGCACGGGTTTACTTGCGTTTACTTACTAATCTGTAGTGCAAATTTCACTTGTTTTTCACATCAAAGATGTGGTAAAACCCATGTGAAATTGTGTACCACAGGTTAGTAAGTAAACACAAGTAAGCCCGTGTATACCTTGTTTAATGTAAGCCCGTGCATACCTTGCTTGCTGGTTAATCCACCCTTGCAGCTCCTCGCAATTGTGTGAGCTAATTTCTTGAAGTAAATATCTGTCTGTCTGTCTATCTACCTACCTATCCATCCATCCATCCATCCACCCATCCATCCACCCATCCATCCATCCATCCATCCATCCATCCATCCATCCATCCATCCATCCATCCATCCACCAACCCACCTACCTACCTACCTATTTATCTATCATCTACAGTAAAACCTGTGAGAGCTGGAACTTGATGGGTTTGTCTTGTTTTTCCAGGTCTCAAAAGTTTTCTGCCTTTGACAGGGTGCAGTCTTACCACTTTTCTATCTCTTGTTTTAGTGGAAAATGGTTCGGAATCAACTCGATGGCGAGTTTGTTTGTTGTTTTCTCTGACAGGTTTATGTCTTACGGAGGTTCTGGTTTTTGCAGGTTTTACTGTATTTAGCTACTTGTCACTGGTTCTGTTTCTCTAGAGAACCCTGACAGACATTATATAAACTCTGTCACCAGCAGTGAACAGGGTCAGGGCAGAAGAGAGAGGAGGGGGATTAATGTCATGGAAAATTCATTGCTTGCAGTAAGAGTTTTAAAATGATGGCTTGGGGAGCTGCCGGAATGATGACAGGCGAAGAAGTTGTTTTGGTAGAAAACTTGGCTTGAACAAAGCTTCTTGGACGGGAGGCGTCAGGGATGTTTTGACAGGTAGCCCAGAAGTAGCCAAGGACACTGGGCTTGATGTGTGTCTCTGGATCCTTCAACACTTTCTGCTTCACTGTTCTCTGATTTTGGGCCCAGAGATCTTTTAAGTAACTCTTTACATGCTCAATTTGGCAGAGATTTAAAAAAGTGGATGTTTGAACAGGTAGAATGGCCGCTTCTTCAGGGTCCACACATCTGGGTCTTGGGTCTTTGCAGCAATGTTTCTTTTCCAAGTTAACTTTCGTCCCATTCTTTCAGCAGTTTGATGGCTACACCCAAGTCTCTGAGGAACTGGCTGCACCTTAGGACTCTAATCATCTCCTAGGTCCCTGATCCAGTGTGCGCTTCTGTGGCAGGAAGCTTCTAAGATGGCCTTCAATGATCCTTGCCTCCTGGTAGTCATGCCTGGTGTAATTCCTCTGCCTTGAGTGTGGTGGGACCTGTGACTTGCTTCTAACCTATAGAATACGGCAAGGTGATGGTATGTCACTTCAGTGAAGAGGTTACATAAAGATATGACGTGTGTCTTGCTAGCCACAAGTCTTGCCTGTTTGGCTTGCACACTTGGATGAAGTCAGCTGCCATGTTGGAGAGGCTCATGTGGCAAGGAACCAAGAGTAGCCTGTGCCCAATGGCCACCTATGAACTGAGACCCTCACTCCAACAACCCTCAAGGAACTACATTCGGCCAACTAACATGTAAGCTTGGAAGTGGATCTTTCCTCATTTGAGCCTTCAGATTGACACCTTGATTGAAGCCTTGTAAGAGATCATAAAGCAGAGGACCCAGCGAAGCCATGCCCAGATTCCTCACCCACAGAAAATGTGACATAATAACTGTGTGTTTTTTAAGTAATTTGTTATCAACAAATTCCTGTTATAATTCTCTTTAGTCTTTATTTTCCTTCACAATTTTACCCCTTGTGCCAGTCTTATTCTTATAAATATCTCCAGCTCTTAACTATAAACTGGTGACTCCCAAACCTGTGTTTCCAGGACAGACCACCCTTCTGAGATCAGAACCCATAAAATGTGTCCAGTGGCTTTGGACAGTTCCATGAGGATATTGTGCAGACATCCCAAATTTAGCATGTTCAATCTGCCCCTTCTTCTGAGTTCCTTGACTTGGTGACATTTATTTCTCTTTATCCAGTTGCCCAGTCCTTACAGTCATCTCTCTCCTACCCAACAAATTCAATCAATCTTCAAGTCCAGCCTTATAACCTTCTACTTTCCCACTTATATTAAAGACATTTCTTAAAATTCTGGTTCTACATTTTGAGAGTGGGATGCAAAATTAAAGCAGTTGTCGGTCTGTATATTAGGATATTCTATGCTTGTTTTTTTTTTCCCATTAAAATTCAAGCAAAAAGTTCAGATAGTGAATATGATTTGGCTTAAAAATTATCATGTGCAATTGCAAATTTGAACTGGTCAGCACAACCCATGTTTATATTTATTAAACTTATCTCCTTAAGAAAGTTGAACAGTTGAACCAAAAATGGTTAGACCCTTCCTCCACTTCTCTAGCTGGGTTTTGGGAAGAAATAGGCCAAGAAGAGACAAGCGCTCTCCCCTCTCCATGGTAAGGGGTCAGTCCCAGCTGGTTTTGCTCTGATGTACTGGAGCTGGTTGAGGACAATGGGAGGCACTTGAATAAGATCTGAGTCTGCCCCTTTGGTTGGGATTATGTCCTTGCCAAAAGGAAGACGTTCTGAGACTCAGCCTTGCTCATCCAACTCTTTCAAAATGGAAAAGATGTGGCTCCTGTAGCTGCCCTGTGGTCCAGGATGGTCTATTAACTCTGCATATGCTGTAAGGCACATCATCTGGAGGGGAGTATGTGGGGACACCGAGAAGCTACTCTCCATGGCTTTAAGTCGCAACTGTGTGTTGGTGGTGCTCACGTCTGTATGTACAGCCCAGGTCCGTTTCCTGAGCTCTAAACTTGTATATTAACTGCGGAAAGGACATCTCCAGTTCGACGTCCTGTAGGCCCCTTCAATCCAGATCCTCATATTTAAACAGCTTGTAGCTAAGAATTCTCTTTGGTCAAATCATCCAGTTGTTATACAGGAAGGTTAGGTATTCTGAGGTACATCATTCAGATATTTTTCTGGTTATTTTAAACAGTGAGGTGGGCATTCAATAAACAAAGAAACAAGAAACAGTTGCTGTGGAGTCGACTGCAATTCACGGCGACCCCACGGTGTCAGAGTAGAACTGTGCTCCGTAGGGTTTTCACTGGCTAATTTTTTGGCTGTAGATCACCAGACCTTTCTTCCGAGGCACCTCTGGGTGGACTTGAACCTCCAGCCTTTCAGTTAGCAGTAGAGCACTGTAACCGTTTGCACAGATTATGCAGCAGTTGTGGGACTCTACTGTTTATTCATTTGTTGCTAGAGTGACACTGTACTTTTTTTTATTTTATTGAGACAACTTTTGTCCTGCCTGTGGGTAGTCACTAGAGCCTCACCAAAGGTGGATTGCCCTCCATCCAGGCTCCTGAGGGGATGATAAGCCCTCCCTATGGCCTGGCTGACCATTGACACTGAGGCCACCAGGGGAGAACACCCCAGGAGTGATTGTCAGGTTTGTATCCTTGCCATTGCCATGTCAAACCTAACAAACGCTGGGTCAGAAAGACTATAGTGATGGAGGATTGCCTGAGGGTAAATGGTCCATACATTCCTGTGAATGACCAGCTTTCAAACTTTTAAAATCAAGAAATATTATAAGCAACTCCTGTATATAAAACAGATAAAAGTGGAGCTTCCCTTGTTGAAACCAGGATAATGGGGATGGGGTAGAGCACGAGGGGCAGGGTCTTGTCCCCCAGCTCCCCTTGCTTTGTGAAGAAGCCCTAGCTGAGCTACTTTACTGAATTTTACTTTGGATTCTAGATGAGAAATAGCTCTTACTGCAGGATGTTGCTAAGGACACTATTCTCTTCTCTCACCTTCTAGGAGGATAACCCATTGCTATCGAGTCGAGTCCGATACATAGAAGTAATTTCTCATAGGTCTCATTTCCAGGAAACTTTTTTTCCCCCGAATACTTGACTTATTTTTTATTTTATGGAGGCTGTGACTTAGACCCCTTTTGCATCAGCTTCTAGAAAGCACAGAGCTAATTTTGTAGACCATCTCTGGTGGTTTCTCAGGACATCTTGGTACTCATTTTATGGACTGGAGAAGTTAAGTCAGGAATCTAAGATCTGTTTTCTACTTTATTTTTCTTTTAGCCTGATTTCCACTTTATTCTTATTTAACCCTCTATCTTACACGTTTTTGTAGGTTTCTGTAAGTACTTTCTGGAACAAAACAGGATAAAAATTAATACATGAATGTATTAAAAAAACCCGAAACAGTTGCAGTGGAGTCAGCTCTAACTCCCATGTGTAGAACTATGCTCCATAAAGTTCTCAATGACTGATTGAGAGGCCTTTCCTCGAAGGTGCTTCTGGGTGTACTCGAACTGCCAACCTTTTGGTCAGTGGCTGAGCACGTTAACCATTTGTATCACCCAAAGACTCCCACAAATGTAGAAATACACTTAAGAATAAACAGCAGAGCCTCCAGCAACCATCCTCTGCCTGTGTTTACCTCATTGGGGTGGAATCCATCGATGGGTTCGATGAGCTGCCAGGGCTGCCCACCTCTCCTCTGCCACTCCTCCGTGACTGCAGGACACAACCAGAGTGTTAGAGACATGCTTCCACAAAGAACCATCAATCTCTGAAGACACGGACCCTGAGAAATGTTGTCAGAGCTGCCCACTGCCCTCCTGGCCTGGCCCATTGCTTACCAAGCCATTGCCACTTCTGAGGTATTAGCTAGCTCAGACTGGGAGCTTTCTGAACAGAAATGATCTTCTCATCAATTTCCAGTCAGAAAGACAATGCGTGAGAGTGTTGGATGGCAGTGGTGTGTGTCTTGGGGAAAGTGGTGGGGAGAGATGAGCTCTAAAATATTCAACACCAATTTAACTCCATCTCATTTTTCAGGGGCGCAGTAGGGCAGCACTGTAGGAGCAGGAGGGGAAAATTAAACATTTTGTTAACATTTCCTTGCATGGGCTGCCATTTCCACGCACCGCCTGTGTGTGTCAAGCAATCACCTTTAAAAATCATACAGTACATAAGAAATATTATATAATTATACAAAATTATCTCAGCATCACACTTAGAGGGAGTATGGCTACAGAGAAAATATTATGAGCCCTAAAGTGATGAAAAGCAATAAAACCATCCTTCAACATGGGTAAGAGACCAAGAATGTCAGTTGCTCCAAGGCAACAGCACAATTAACTTTACATTGTAATATAATAGAGTCAATAAGAACTCCTCAAGGAAATTTCAAATCCCCCGAGAGCCTCCAGAGAGAAAACATCTGAGACTGCTGCTTCTGGCATAGCCCAGCCCCTCACTTCCCTGAGTCCAGTGAGGGAGCAGGCACAGCTAAGATTCTTCCAGTTCTTTTCTCTTCACCCCACAGAAAAATCAAGAGCAGAGGCTTGTGCCGTCTCTGCTTCTATCCCGCTCACCCCAAGGGAAGGCACATCGATTCTATTGGGGGCTTTGATTGGACAAGAGAAGCTGGACTTTCCAGGGCTGAATCAGTATTACGATGCTTTTGAAATTAGTCCTAATATTACGGCATGTCACCTCCAATAACTGACAACTCCTTTGTCCCCAGATAACGCTGCCCTGCTCAGAGCTCAGGAGAAAATTCATGCTGGTGCTTTGGAGTCCTGCACAGTGAAGCTCCTGTCTTGGGTAGCTTATTCCCTGGCAGATCTGCGGCTGCTGAGCCACGTTCTTATATTATGCTTCTGGGTTTTATCGGAGTGTGTTAGAAGCAGCAGCTGCTGAAAATTGGTCTTTGAATTTCTTATAAAAGTCGAAAGGGTAACGGTATAATTTGGGAAGGGGTAAGGGTAATGGCTGAACAACATGATGAACATAATTAATGGCACTGAACTGTACATGTGAAAATTGTTGAAATGGCAAATGTTTTGTTACCTATATGTTTACCACAATAAAAAAATTAATTACAAAACAAAAATAAAAACAAAACTTGAATTGAGGACATTGACTACTGTGTTACATGGTGTTTCCCGCAGATTGCCAGAGAAATTCCTTAGTGCCTGTTAACAATGTATCTCTTTGAAGGAATGGGATGTGTCTGCCCTTCTGATAGGAAGCTCAGAGCTGTCCTGATGCTTAAACCACACAACCTCTTTTGAAATTTTGTTTGTTCTACCCAACCAGCTTGCAGCCCTGAACAATTTCTCTTTTGCCTTTGGCCATAGGAACCCTATAAGAGGCAGTCCTCACGGAAGCTTGCCTGGCTCTATCTGCAGTTTGCCAGGCCTGTTCTGCCTGTTTTGGGGAGACCTTGGAATCAGACCTTCTGTTCCAGCTTCAATTCTGGCTGCTCCGCCTTTCCCTCTGGACCTGACACTGCAGCACCTGTGAATTCCCGGTCTTACCCCCTTGGCCACCACGCTGGCTCTGCCTGCTCCGAGCCCTGTCCAGCCCATCCCTGCCTCTGCTTCGCTCACCTGCCCTGCTTTTCACTCATGCTTGTTTCAGCGTCTTCATTCTTTCCCTTGTCTGGGAGATGATAGGCCAGTCTCCTGCTTGTTTTTTGGGTCCTGCTTCTCTACTTTCTAAGTTGATGATGATTCCCTATCTGAGCTGTCTCCAATCCAAAGTTCCAACAAGTTGCATTTGGGAGAGTTTTTGCAAATGCAGAGCCAATGTCTCCCCAGTGAGTTTCCTCAATGCTCTTCGTTTTTTATGGTGTTTGTTTCACTTCTACCTTGTAGTCCCACAGGGGTCTCTAATACAAACCAACAATAATGTGGAAAGGCCATGCCCAGGTGAGTTATCAGCTTCCTTAACTTCACAGATGACATCACTTCCTTTCTACCTGTGCTCCATTCCTTCACAAAAGTTCCTGATGAACTGTCTCCCAACTCTCCCTTTATTTTTTGTTTTGTCTCATCTTATGTCAAACAGATGTTAAAGAAAGAAAGAAAAAATGAAAGAAAAGAAATAATGAAAGAAAACCCTAATAGGGTGCTAAGGAATGTCCAGGCAGTGCTAAGATCAGGCCAGTTGCAACTGATCCTAACCTAGAGTTCAGAGCCCGCTGAAAAGTTGCCAAGAGTTGGATGAGTAAGGCATGAGGCAGAGGCCTATTGTATTAAATAGATATCCACCAAGTCCTGGACCTGACCCGGACCTCCCAGGCATCTCTGATCTGGTGTAGGTAGGAAGCCTCTTTCAACACTTTGTGACTTTCCATATTCACAGAGAAGATTGAGTGTCAAGCTGAATCCAAACCTATGCTTCAACGGCCAAGAGAAAATCCAGAAAGAGTGACTATGATTAGGGAATCTGGAAAATCCAGAATGGAAAACAACATTGAGCCTATAAAAAACACAGTTTAAGGTCATGTTCCTTAAGAAGAATGTTTACTAGGAGTACAATATTTCAAAGGTCATATTTGCTTATAGATGAGTTTCCTCTAGTGTGATTCAACTCTGGCATCCAAGCTTAAGGTTATTCTAGGCTATTTTCATTTTGATTTGAATTTTATGTTTGTTACTATCAAACTAAAACCATGGTCCTTAAAGAAAGGGAGAAATGGTGATAGATATTGTACCTCATGAAACAAACAGACATAATTCAGTCATCAGAATTAGTGACTATTTTCAAAAGGAGAAGGGATGGTCATTCTCTTCCAGCTCCTCTTGGAGGCTTGGGGAATCCCTTAGTTGTGGGGATTGTGGAAGGAAAGCTCAGGAATGCTGCCATGTTTTGCAAGGGACCAGGGACATATGCTAGGGTGGGGGGCAGTGGGAGAGGCCCACTTTTTATTATCACTGTACTCCGTACTCCCGCAATTCTAAACAATGCTAGTGATAACATTCTTCCCTGTCAGGATGGACTGTTCCCTCCCTAACTCCCACATTGGTAAGCTACTACAAGGGAGTCCAGCCTTTAGAAGAATGGCCTTGCCGTAATAAAATAAAGCAATGAGTATTAAAAGAAATATCTACAAGGCTATCGTTAACGTAGTCATGGTGGAAGACATCAGTTTCCCCCATGATTATTGTGTCTACAAGCATCATTGTGTATCCATAAACTTCAGTGTTATAAAACCTAAAGACAGGGTCAGTAACTCACAAGCTAGAGTTCAAGGTTTTATCTGTATGGCGACTCTTTTCTGTTTGTTTATTTCAGGGTGAAATTTTAATTTCTCAGAATAAAAGCAATACCAGGCAAAACCAAAACCAAACCCAGTGTCGTCGAGTCAATTCCGACTCATCGCAAACTCACAGTGGCCTCTATTTCTTCCCTGATTGATTTCAGAGTAGGAGATCCAGTCAAGGGTAAGATGGTAAGATTATTTCCTTCCCACTTGGAATCATAATTCAAAATAGGTAGATGAATTCCTGTTGTTCTTCAGAAGATCCAAACTGAACTCCTTGAATGGTTATGAACAATTTCTTGGGATTTGGTGTATAACTTATTTTCTTCATCTGTAAAATCAACGAAACTCTGCTAATAACCGGCTTTTCAGAGATGCAATAGAAGTCATAGAAGATGACTAATAAGACACTTGATCGCTCTTTGATGAACAGCAACAAACAAATACTTAAAAAAAATCTGCTCTCTGGTCAGCCTCATGAAGTCATTGGTTGTCTTTACAAACATATCCATGGAGGGAAGTAGAACCGGGTTCACTCCAATTGAGTTATCTCGGAAGCTGGGGGCAGATGGTGGCATATTTAAACTGTCAGTGTAAAAATGGCCCTGTCGGCCAAGTGGCATTTTCCTTCCTCGGCCTGGAAGATGTGCAGAGGAAGAAAAAAGACGTCACCTGCTCAAGTGGGTATTTCCTGAAGGGAGGAAAAATTGCTACCTCTGTTTAGTTCATAACCAGTTGGAGAATGAGTCATCAAGAGACAAAAAGAGTCTTTGGAGATGAGCAATCGTGGTTCAGCGCTGGACAGAGGCTGTCAGAGCTGAGACCACATAGGTTTAGTGCCTACCCTCAAGTGACAGGGATATTCAGTTGCAGTTTGCTCTGTCACCAGGATATGAAATTGTGAATTTTAGTATCATAAAAACTGAGGATATTTGTGATGCAATAGTTGGCTCAAATATAGTCCAGAAATGGGAGGAGAGATTTTCCTGTGACTATGAAGACGGCTGATGGCACAGGACTGGACAGCATTTTTTTCTGTTATACCTGAGGTCGCCATGGGTCGGAGCTGACTAGACAGCAACTAACAACAACAATTGAAACTGCAGATTTAATGAGTGAATTGACAGGGCTTTTATTTCTGACAAAAGGAGACAGTTGTGATAATGAGATGCATTTCTACCATATCTTCCTTGAAAGAACTCAAAGTGATGCACAGGCATAATTGGCGAGGGGAGGGGCTTTGGACATTGAAAGAGAACAAGCTTTTATTATCCATCTATTATACTCCTGGTGGTGCAGTGATTAAAGCACTCAGCTGCTAACTGAAAGGCTGGCGGTTTGAACCCACAAGCTGCTCCACTGGGAAATATGTGGCAGTCTGCTTCTGTAAAGATTTACAGTCTTGGAAACCTAATGAGGCAATTCTACCCTGTCCAATAGGGTCGCTATGAGTCGGTAT